GAGATGCTGTGTTCCATATTTTTGCTGCAGTATCAAGTAACAAATATGTTCGTGCAATATGTGGTTGCATGGAATTGATTAGCCAAGATATTATCAAAGAATTTTTAGAGTTCCGTATGTTATATTACAATTCACCTACTTCTGGTTTCTTCATATCACCTGTAATGTAGTCCTACAATCCTCTAATCTTGATAAACAATAAACAAAATATTGACCAAGTAAGATAATTAGTTATATTAAGTTTTACGGGACTGATTTGCAATGAAGGGTTATTCGAATAAGAAACCATCACTTTTTTTGTTTCTATCATTTTAGAGTGCTAAAGATAAGAAGAAAAATACCCAATAATAAAAACGTACCTCATAATTTGCATCAAAATAGCCAAAAATGACAGAATACTGAAATTAGATCTGTGCGTGGAGGAAGAAGAAACAAGAGGTTGTCGCACGGCTCTGCTTGTGGCTGAAGAAGGAAACCTCCGTGCCCTGCGCGGCTCTGCGCGTGGTTGAAGAGGGAACTGGGTCGCGTGTCTCTGTGCATGGCTGAAGAAGAAGAAAACTGAGAGCGTCTTCGCATCTCTGCGCGCGGTGGAAGAAGGAACTGGGCTGCGCAGCTCTGCGCGCAGTGGAGGAAGAAACCAGGTGGCCCTTTGCGCGGCTCTGGCAGCGGTGGAGGAAGGATCCGGCTGCCTTCTCCCTTCCTCTGATCTTTCCTCTCTTCCCCTTGGCCTGGCTCTTTTTCTCCTCAGCTTCTTTTTTGTTGTTTTAGGGTTTTAAAGAAACCTTAAAATAAAACCATAAAATATCCTTATTCTGCTCTGATACCATGTAGAATTTTGGAGAAAAAATATAATTTTTATTTTCACATTTTAAGTTGTAACACCTGAGTATTTATAGAAATTTTAAATTATTAATTAAAAAATAATTATTTTATTAAAATTCTAATTATATAAGATTATTATTTTTATAAAATTTTAATAATACAATATCAACTAATAATTAAAATAGTTAAATAATAAATTATGCTACTCGACAAAGTCATAATGGTACTTTTGTGTATTGCTTTTTTTTTTTTTCTAGTTGAAATAAAAATTCATTTTACAAGTTCATCTAGGAACTAGAAAAAAAGTAGGAAGTCATAACGATAATTAGAATTATACATGTGTTTTTATCTCATCACCAGAAATTGTCTTACCAGTTGATGTGGAGTTGAATATTGAAGCAATTACTGAACCATGAGTGTTTCTATACTCTCATGATATATTTCCTTTTTCTCTTTGCTATACTAATAGCTCATATGGGGCTTGAACCCAACCAATGATAATGGGAAAACTAGGCAGTGACCACTTGCGTTAGGTGCCATGTCCCTCTCCGGATCTTGATATGGTAAAATGAATAAAATTTTTGAAAACTCTTAACATGAACACTTGGGTTCAGATTCGTTCTGCTGGCCTCTGGCACCTATTCTAGAATGTTTCTTGAATAGTTTGGTGTAAAAGATATCAGATACTATCCAATTTGGCATCTGGATCCAGTTAATTACTCATGTATGCATGCAATGATAGTTGGCTCCTCTGGTAAATTTTTGCCCGGCTTATAAAATGGTCAAGGACCTAACATATCTATTTCTGCATGTGCAGGGTAAAGAGCCAACTTAAGAGGCTTGCCCGACCAATGTACTCGAATCCTCCTGTTCATGGAGCCAGAGTTGTTGCCAACATTGTTGGCGATCCAGCTCTCTTCAATGAATGGAAAGCAGAGATGGAGCTTATGGCTGGAAGGATAAAAAATGTAAGACAGAAACTATTTGATAGCCTCACTGCAAAAGACAAGAGCGGGAAGGACTGGTCGTTTATTCTAAAGCAGATTGGCATGTTCTCCTTCACCGGCTTGAACAAGGCTCAGGTACTTGCCCCTCAGGACGGATATTTCAAACTGTTCCAAATATCTAGCATACAGAATTCTTGACATTTTTAAAGTTCCTTAAGGTTAACAATATTTTTGTCTGCTGTTCTTGTTGTGTCAATAGAGCGATAATATGACAAATAAATGGCATGTGTACATGACGAAGGATGGAAGAATATCCTTGGCAGGATTATCTTTGGCCAAATGCGAGTACCTTGCAGACGCTGTTATTGATTCATTCCATAATGTCAGTTGAAGCAAATGGTCCTGAAAAATCCAATAAGGAAAGCTTGGGGATATTTTTTGAGATCCTCGATTCGGAACCACCAGTTAGTGATTATTTTTAACGAGAAAAAAGAAACATTTTATAATAAAGAGGGGTGTTGATGGTTATAAGTTTTGCAATTGAAATTTTGACTGTTTATTCCTTCGGAAAGGAAGTTTAGTTGCCTTGTGAATCATTTTGATTATACACTGTTGTATGCTGTGTTACGATGCTTCATGCATATTTTCTTTTTAGATTAATTTGTCTTTTTAAGTTTCTAACACAACCATCCATGTAAGAGTTTGAGAATTTTAAACGAATCAGTTCTCTATGCGAATGATTTAACATTTGGATTTAGTTGATCATTTGGAAGTTGCATATGCGTCATCAATTGTCTGGACTCTGATTTTGTTCAATGTACAAATGGGATTACAAGGTATTCGGCATAGAATAACTGCAGGCACAGCCAAGTAAAAAGTGCAAAATTAAAGCATAAGTCTACCAGTAATTTATCACAGAAATAATTATATAAAACTACTTGCCTTGCAGATGAACATGTAAAAAGAAGTTAACGGATACTTTGTTGGTCACATCAACACAAGAAGCTCGAACCCATAGAAACAATGCAAGACTAGAGTGGCCAAATATCTGCACGCATCAAATACATACACTTCTCATACGCATACATACATATAAAGAAAAAGTCTTGAGGAGATCAAATATGTACAGTGACAAGCTTGCTTGGTAGAACAGATGAAGTTGCTCCCACAACAACAGCAGCTCCATACGCAATTAATAGCATTGTAACACACACCCAGAACACCTGTTTTTTTTTTTTTTTAATACATAATATCAAAATCATTTCCTTTCTAGTTAAAAATCCCAACCAAATGATTGAAGGTTACTATATATATATATGTGTTTGTCAAGGAAGAAACTTGTGAGGTTACCTTGTGTTGTCCTTGGCGAACGCTGAATGATTGAATGCCGAATTCTCTATCTCCATCCACATCAGGAATGTCCTGTTTCAAGTTCAAAACTTGAGAAATTATTTCAATTTCATGTCCAATGAAGGTGAAAACAGCTGCCTTCTTTAACCACCTTTTTTTTTGGGCCCCAAAAATGCAAATTAGATATATCATTATATATATATATATGTGCATGTATGTTTGTAAGTTTACCTTGAACAAAGCGATAACTGCAGAGAATAAGCACATGAAGCTGACTGCAAACATTAGTGATTTCGTAACCACTGTTGGCCTACCAAGCACATATTGCTGCCACCAGATTCTTACACATAATCAATCACGAATCTTTTATATATATATATATATATATATATATATATATAATGGCGATACAGTCAAATCATGTGTTGTGAAATTGTAAGTACAGAATTTTAGTCGTAAATACCTGGATGTGCACAAAAAAGGCGTGCTGAACAACAACAGCTCTTACAATCAAGATGCAGCTAGCTGCTAAAAATGCATGTCTTTTCCATCTGAGTAATGGAAGCTACAGCACACAAACAGATAAAGTTACACCTTTACCACTATATATATATATATGTGGTGTGTATATGACATACCCATGAACACACATATAAACATATATGCGTAAAATATTACATAGTTCGATTGAATATGCACTGCCCAGAAGAAAACTAACGAGAAGAGCAGCCAAAAGTGGGGGTGATTTGAACACAATTCCCATACCCAGACTCTGTTTTAAACATAAAAAAAGTGCTTAATTGTGAATATATATACAACTTAAAAAAATATATTATCTACAATGTATATATGTGTACATATATAATCCATCTAATTTGTAGTTCAGTAATTACCATAAAGAGAGATGTCAAAATAATTGTGGTTCCAGTTCTCATTGAGAATTCACCAGAAGCCAAAGGGAGATAGATAGTGTTTGGATCACTAAAGTTTTGAAGACAATATCACTAACCCAGTTAGAGAATTTAATATTATTAAATATTTAATAGCTTATTCAATAAATTTCTTAATAAAAATTCATTAATTTTAATTAATTAATTATTATGTGCAAACTAATCATAACACAGTACAAAATTACCTTGTCCATATCAACATCAAACAATTGATTCAATCCCATCAGAATAGATTGCACCACCGCCTGATCATGATCGTCCATATTAACAAATTCAATCCTTTTTTTCTAAGAAAATTACCTTCAGTAATCCTACAAAAAATGCTGGAGACAAATCGGTAATTGCTCGCACCGGAAGAAGTGAAACCGACGTTATTTGCTATTATCTGTCCAACCAAAAAAAAATAAGAAAAAAAGAATTAACTGTAAATTATATAAAAATAAAATTGTAACTTCCGCAAATTATACACGTGTGCGCGTGCGTGTACAGTTCCGAAGACGGTGTGAGGACGAGAGAACGTGTAGAATGCAAGGAGGTGAGGTGGAAGTTTCTAGAAGTTTGTTTTGTTTCATAACCATTTTGCAACGTGAAAAAAGTTAGGCAATTATTTTTAATGGTTTATTTTTTTCTTAATAAATATAAGCTAACTTGTTCCTTCTTTCCCCGTCTCTGCCCACTTTTAAGTGCACCTGAAATGATGACTATTAATTTCATTTATATTTTCTTTAAATTAACAATTGCTAATTTTGATAGTTAAATACATATTTATTTTAATTTTACTTATCATTTGAAATATATATTATATATATATATATATATTTGTGTTTTTGTCATTAGTGAAATTCGCCATTGTGCTGCACAGCATACTAAAAGGGTTACAAGAAAATTACAAGTAGCATATTGAAACCAAAACAAATACTTCATAAAACTATATTTCTCATAAAATTTGAAAGAGAAATAAATAAATAAATAAATAAATAAAATGAACCTTACCCGTTTGGTTTTCCTAACAAAAGAAAAATAAATGAAATTCTAAGAGGTGAGAAGCAGAAGCAAGCATGGAATTGAAGCCCACCAAATTCTATTTCTTCACTTGGTGATTGATTGATTCAACCTATTTTTCTGTCTCTTTTGAGTTTTGTTTGGGAGAGAAGTCTGTCTTTATTAAGAGAAATGATTTGATTTTATACTCAATTGGTGACAGGTGTAAATTTACAAAATCAATAGTACGTACTACTACAAATGAACACACTTCGATTTCTTCCCTAATTTGTGTATTAAATTAAAGTTTAAGAATTTATTAAGTTATTAATGGAGTAGTTTAGTATATCTCCTCATTTATGAGAAATTATGAATTTGAATCGCAATATAATTTATCAAGGCCCATAAATCATTAGCTTCGGTCATTACTTTGTGTTTAAATTTGACTTTGTATTGGAGAAATTAAGCACAAATTTGTAATTTTTCAAGAAGCCCTTTTTAACATTTGGGATTATGGGCTTAATAGCACTAATTACACTTGCTTTTCGGCTTTGTAAATAAATGCTTCTCTAATAAGTCTCTTTTACCCTTCATTAAAATTGAGAATATAAAAATCATTATGAAATTAAATAGAATTGGGATTAAAAAATAATTACATACTTTTGGAGCAAAATGCACTGTTTTTTTTTTTTTCATGTTTGAATATAATTACATGTAAATTTTTTTAAAATAATTATTTATTTTTTTATCGTAACAATAATTATGCAAAAAAAATTAAAATAGACTTTTATCACACACCATTTTTTTTTTTTACAAATTTTACTGTGGTTTTTTTAAATCATATTTAGTAGAATAATTTCTTAGAAACTTTAATAATATAATGCCCAAATTGTAAATTAAATTAATTATAAATATAAAATTTTTTGATTTTTTTAATTTTAATTTAATGCAAAAATAAAGTAAATTTGGTGGGGGGTGAAATTGAAAACAATTTTGGAGAAAATAGGTGAAAATTTGGGTTCTGATGGTATTTTTGAAAGAAAAATCGGAAACTGGGGGTCAGAATACAATTTAAAAAAGTTTTGTCACTTAGGATGCCCAATCAGCAGCCCCGACGAATCAGAACGCACCGCGTGGCAGTGGACGTTGATGCGGTGCCATGCGGGCAATCTGCATGCCCGCGATCAAACGGCTTAGATCTGTTCCCACTGTACGAACGGTCCAGATGCGTTTCCTCCCCAAACGCGATTGGACAGTAAGATTTGAACGCGATCGGACGGCTCATATTAGATCGCAATGAACGGTCCAAATTGAATCGCGACGAACGATTTAGATTTATTTTTTATTTAATCGCGATCGGACGGTTCAGATCAAACTCGATGGACGGCCCAGATTAAAAGCGGACAAGTATAAATAACTCTCTTCACACCAAACCCTAACCCTAGTCGCCAGTCGCCCTCGTCGGAGAAGAAGACACAGTCGCTGGGAAGGAGAGCCGCCGCCACCCATCGCCGCGTCGGAACTACTTTCGACTGCCAAAAGAGGTAAAAATTTCTCTTTTTGCTCAGAATTCAATTTTAAACACCCCCCATGACCAAATCGGAGCAAAAGAACCGGTTGATTGGTTAGAAACCGTGGGTGAAGCTTGACAGCATTGTCGCAAAAAATTTCACAAAACGCCTCGGATGAGGCTCTTTTTAATTCCCGTTTCGAAAAATTTTTCTACCATTGTGATCACCGTTTCCTTCCCTACAGGTTGACTGGAGCAAAACAACCAACCACAACGTGAGCCGGAGGAGCCGCACCACCGGAGAGTCCCGCCGCCTGTGAGTTTCAGATTTTTATATTTTTTCGGCTAACTGAGTCACCTTAACATATTTTCTAGTAGGGATTGATGCAAAATCGGTCGAAAACAGCCGACCCGAGGCGGACCACCGCCACGGGCGGCGGCGCCGTCGCCGAAGCACGGCAGAGCCGTCGTGCAGGAATTTCAGAATTGGCTAAAATGGGCGATTTTGGGTTTATTTGGGATAATTGTATATATTTATAGCATGTTTTGATTCCCGAAAAAAATTCAGGGAACCCGGGGACGACTAATGGATGCAATCAACAGTTTAGCCTTTCGGGCGTCAAATTGAGTAGGAATCATTCACCCTATTCTCTGTTATAGAATTAAAGTCTAATTAACAATAAAAACCATATTTTGTATAATTTAAAAAATGTTCATAATTAATTACGGATTGCTAATAGAGCCAGAATAAGAAATTATCTACTGTTGTTCTGTTAATTGTTTTTACAGTTTAAATGTATGATAGTGCCTTATTGATTAATTTTATAGCTTTGAATGCATGTATTTTTGTTTTATGTATTTACGGTCGAATTGAAAAAATAGAGGTTAAAGGTAAACAAAAAATTTGTGTAATTAAGTGAATGGATGAAACGATAGCCTTACTGGATATCCTGCGAGATGATGGACGGACTGGGTACATCGGAAACCCTACCGTGAATGTTGTCTCATACCGAACGGGGTATGGGGACATCCCGCTTCACCATAATATCAGATGAAGTATTGAGGTTTAAAAATTTGGCGCTCATACCGAACGGGGTATGGGACGACCCGTAATTAAGAATGTTAAAGGAAAAGATTCACGCGTAGTGGAGACATCTCTATGAACCCCAATGGATTCCAGCAGGCTGGTGAAAAAAAAAAGAGCAATTGTTATTATGATGATTTGAATATGAAAGTATAATATGTGCTATATTGCTAATTATATATGGAATCATGATATATATAATGTTATTATTTTCTATAGGCTGTTTTCTATAAATCTCACTACGTTAAGTGGACGGTAAATAGTTTTATTATTGATAAATGAATTTGCTTAATTTAGTGCTCCATTAGTTGTTTTGAATTTTCTACAAACCTTCATTTCTGTATCGGTGATGTAGTGTGATATTCTTACTGGGCTAGTGTAGCTCATCTCTTATTTAACTATTTCAGATCAAGAGGACCAGGATCCAGATCCTGATTCGCAAGAGGATTATGAGTATAATGTTAGTTTTCTTTATTTTCCGTTTATTTCCTTATTTCCTTATATTTCTTTCAAAAGGGTGAATTCTGTAACACTAATTAGTACTTTAAGTTATTGTGTAAGAAATGTAAATTTTAAATATTTATTTCGCTTTCGCACTTTAATTATCATTTATTTCCTTTGGGTAATTCCGGAGTCGTTACAGTTGGTATCAGAGTCGCATTCCTCGGACCCATTCCTTACACAAAACCCTTAGGAAACA